AACCTAAGTGGTGTCCATCAATAGAAGAATGGATAAAGATGTGATACATATCTATATCTATATCTATATCCACATACACACACACACTGGAATATTACTCAGCCAAAAAAAAGAATGAAAATTAAGGGGGGGAGGGAAACAGCCCAGTGGTAGGGCACATGCTTAGTATGCATGAAGTCCTGGGTTCAATCTCTAGTAAGTACCTCCATTAAAAAAAATTTTTTTTTAGGAAAGAAAATAAAATAGAATGAAAATTTTGCCACTTGCAACAACATAGATGGACCTGACCTGGAGGGTATTATGCTTAGTGAAATAAGTTAGACAGAGATTGCCTGTACGTTATTACTTACATGTGGAATCTAAAAAATTAAAATGAATGACTGTAACAAAACAGAAACACACACACAGATATAGAGAACAAACTAGTGATTACCAGTGGGGACAGGGATGGAGAGGGGCAAGATAGGGGTAGGAGATTAAGAGGTACAAACTACTATGTATAGAACAAATAAACTACAAGGAAGGATAAATTGTACAACACAGGGAATATAACCAATATTTTTTTCTTTTTTTAAAATTTATTTATTTAGGTGGGAGAGGTAATTTAGTTTATTTTGTTTATTTGTTTATTTTTAGAGGGACTGGGGATTGAACCCAGGATCTTATGCACGCTAAGCACGCGCTCTACCACTTGAGCTATATCCTCCCCCAACCAATATTTTATAATAACTATAAATGGAGTATAATTTTTTAAAATTGTGAATCACTGTGTATACCTGTAACTTATGAAATATTGTACATCAACTGCACTTCAGTGGAAAATAAATAAGCTACAAGGATATATTGTACAGCACAGGGAATATAGCCAATATTCTGTAATTTTAAATGGAGTATAATCTATAAAAATATTGAATCACTATGTTGTACACCTGAGACAATATAATATTGTAACTAACAACACTTTTAAAAAGTGCCTGTATTATTTGATCAAAACAATTTAAGAAATTGTGCCTCCATAATAATAGTAATGACTGCAAGAATAGTAACTCCACCTTCTATTCCCTCTTCCCACTTTTGTTCTGGGCAATTTACAAGCCCAATAGAAGGAATTTTAGCCACTTCTGGGGTGTGACTTTATAGTAGTGTTTTTTTGTTAGTTTGTTTTAAGCATACACATTTTTAAAAAATTATTTAAGTGCTGAGTTGACTATAAGAAATTTAGGAAGCACTGAAAGCAATGAAAAATAGAAAAATAATGTGGAATCCCACAGCCTCCCAAAAAAATTTAAGAGAAAAAAATACTCTTAGTCTATAAAAATCACTTTAAATTGAGAACCTCACTGCAAAAGAGAAGCTTCATCTTTTCAAATGATAAGAAAGTTGTTTTAATCACTAATTAAAAGAAAACATACACACAAAAGAAAACTCAAAAAAAATTTAAACTCTCAGGCCTTTAAATAGTGCCAAGAAAGGTTTTTATAGGTGTAAATTTTCTCTTTTCATCTTAATTCAGCATTGTCTAGGTTACAACTTCGGTGTTCAACTACCTGAAACACCAACCAAAACAGATTTATTACAAAATCCATGCATTCAAGTTTCTATGTTTCTACTCTTAAAAGACAAGGTCATTTACTCATTTTATGTATTTATTTTTTAACATTTAAAATTTTTTTTGCAGGGGAGGTAATTTGATTATTTCTTTCTTTCATGGAGGTACTGGGGATTGAACCTAGGACCTTGCACATGCTAAGCATGTACTCTACCACTGAGATATACCCTCCCTGCCAACTTTATTTTTATACAATTTTTAAAGTTTGTTTTCCATTTACAGTTACTATACAATATTAGCTATATCCCGTGTTGTACAGTATATCCTTGATCCTGTCACCCAATAGTTTGTACCTCACAGTCCCCGACCTTATACTACCCCTCCCCTACCAGTAACCACTAGTTTGTTCTCTATATCTGAGTCTGCTTCTTCTGTTATATTTAGTTTCCTGTATTTTGCAGATTCCACATACAAGTGATATCATATAGTATTTATCTTTCTCTGTCTGATTTATTTCACTTAGCATAGTATCCTCCAAGTCCATTCATGTTGCTGCAAAATGGCAAAATTTTACTCTTTTCTATGGCTGAGTAGTATTTCATTGTGTGTGTATGTATATATATATATACATCTTCTTTATCCATTCATCTGCTGATGGACACTGAGGTTATTTCCATGTCTCAGCAATTGTAAATAATCTGTGTCATTCCCACTTTTAGTATACATGCTGTCGAAGCAAGCACTCTTAACTCATTTTAAATCCCAAAATTCAACAAAAATCCTGAGGGCAATAAGAAAGGCTGACAAAGTAACACAAATTCCAGTGATGGCAGATGGCAAAAGAGAAAAACAAAGCAGGATTCTGAAAAGCAGACTCATGTGCTGACCAAGAACCTTAAAATATAATAAAAAATACACACACTCGTGAGCATCCGTCCCTCAGAGCTGCATGAATTACAGCATAGCTGAAGGACTGACCCAGTGTCACCAATAAAAGATTAAATTATGCATAAAAAACCCTCCCTTATCTGGGAAGGCAGGGAAATATGTAACACATTTTAGAAAGTTGCTGGTCAAAACTAAACCTTAAACTTAGGGAATCAGATAATTAAAAATTAAAAGGAAACTTAGGGTCTGCCTCCCTTCTAACAACACAGTGAATAAAAGAGGTTGCTGTAGACTCTCAGTGCTGGCTGTGCATTGGAATCACTGGGGAGCTTTCAAAATACTGATGTCTGGGCCCAGCCCCAGAGATTATGATGTAATAGGGCTCGGGTACAGTTGGATGATGGGATTCTGGCCTTTTTAAAAAAGTTTTCCAGATGATTCTAACGTGCAGCCAGTTTGGAGTGTGGAGTTAAAGGAAGTATACAGAAGTTGCCAATCTCATCTAAACTTCTAAGAGCAATCAAGACTCCAAGGGACAGCCTTTCATAGGCACAGCCAACTCCCTTCAGGTCTCAAGACTGCACACCCCTGTTCTGTCTGACCCATGCCACACCCAACTCAAACAACAGAGTTTATCTTCGGGTGTCTGCCCTCAGGGGAAGCATCGTGCTTCCCTTTCAACTGATGTCTCAAGAAAGCACTCTCTTAAGAAAAGCTTTTCTGTGGAAATCTCTGTGAGAACGTGTTTACAGATGTTGAGAGACAGTCACTTAGTCAACTATTCATTAGTTCAATATAGTTCAAATAGTTCAATCTATTTACTTTGTCCTTTCAATGGGACTAGTATGGCGGAGGGGGAGTGAGGCGTGGCAGGGCAGATGGTTAAAAGTTGACAAGATGAATAAAAGTGGGTTGGGCAAAAAGGTGATATAGATTAGATTATCCATTTGCCTGGGCTTAAGCCACTCCTGCACTCAGGCCTGCGAGTCTGAGGTGAACCTTCTGGGTTTGACTCACCTAGTGTATCCAGGAGCATGCCGCCTTTGGTAGACCTCTTTTTTCGGTGATGGGCTCTTAGTTCGGCCTCTGTCTCTCCTGTTTACCTTAGAGTTGTGCCTGTAACAGACAGAGGGAAGAGAGGAGAGAAGCTTTTTCAATACAGGGGCTTTTATCATGTCCCTCAAACAATGGAGGAAAAGCTAACAGTTGCAGAATTCTAATTCAAATTGAAGAAAACAGAGGGCAGGAGTGGAAGAAAAACAAAGGCATAAGGATACATAAGACTGGATATTAATCTCACTTCAGAGATTTCATATTTATAAATATGCAGTCCTAGGGGCCTGAGCTTCACATTAAAAATAAATTAAAAAATAAAGACAATAACAAAGCAAAGACATCTGGAGAAGCTGATGAATAGGTTATTGCCAAAAGCAAATACCAGCTGTAAGCAGGTCCCCACGTCCATAGGTTATTTCCCAGTGAATTTCCACACTCACAGCTTGCTTGGCCTTGGGGACCGTGACCTTCTGCCTGGGGATCGAGACCTCCTGTCCCGGCACACTGCATCTCTGGTGCGCTTCTTGCTGGCATGTCTGGGAGGTGAATGAGAGGAGCTTCTGGACCTGGAATAATTCTTCAACCCATGCACTCCCTTCTGCTCGGCCTGCAGTCCCTGGTTATGGTCAGAGTTCCTGAGCTAAATCGTCAAGGAAAGGAAGAAAAGCTCAGGAGAAAATGCAGTGAAACAAGAAAATGAATGAGCACTAAGTTGGCTCTGTATGGAGCCACCTGGGTATACCAATCCCATCCCAGAGTTATCACCAAGAGCTGTAGAAATTTAGGAAAGTTATCTTCAGAATGTCCTGAAGTATCACCCAACTACCTAAACTGGACTGGCTCTTCACTGCAGCCTAAGGAAGAGCAGGAGGTAAAAAACGGAGGACAGTATATACACACTGAGGGGAAAAAGGGAATTCAGAGGGATGTGTATTTGTTAGTCATCAACCTGTATGCTTAAAATATGCAATTCCATGTAAATTATCTACAGAGAGATGGGTGGAATGCCTAAATGCCCACTGGTGGCTGAGCCTCTCTGCTCAGAGGGCCATCACCCAGTCAGACTCTCAGGGATAAGGAATGGGCCAGTTCCCAGCAACCCCAGCCTATGCTGCCCAAACTCCCTTCTTTCTGCATGTTTGACTGGCTGCTAAAAAATGCTCTATGTCTAAAAAGTCTGCCAGGTTGACACATTCTACAGTCCCATATCCACTCCCTTTGAGAAGCCCACATCCTTACCTGTAAGCCATATCCAGGGACTCTGGACGAAACAGGGGAAGAATTTGCCATCTTCTTTTGAGACCTAAGAAATTAAAACACAGTCATTGAAAAAGAAAATGCACAGAGGTCCAGTTTAAATCTCTTGTGCTGAAACATGCTTCCTGCTCTCACTTGGGAGTGTGTTTCTCCATCTTTGCTACAAGATGCATCAGCACAGTCATGTTTTTCTTGTGAAAAGCCGTGGGCCTAGCTTTCCAACCCCAACACCCCAAACACATTCTCCTCTCACCTTGTGCTGCTATTCTAGGGACGAATAGTGAGTCAGCAGCGACAGTGCTGACTGCTCCCACAGGGAAGACACACAGCACGGGCCCACATGGGCCCGTTAATGCATTTCAAAAAAAGCCTACATAAAATCCACTTCAGTCTTGGAGGGATCACAAGCTGAGACGGAAGTCACACCCAGGACATCTGACCTAAGACTGCCACGGCTACAGTCAGCTTTGTCACGGAGTCTTGCCAACATCTCCAGGAACTCTAGTGCTAGATGGCAAGCTCTGTGGGCAGGGCCCGGTGTACGAGCGTTCTCCACTGAAACCCCAGTACCTGGCAGTTGCCAGCGTGGAGCAGACGTTCAGTTAATATCTGTGGAGTGAATGAGTGAGTGAATCCACGATGAAGGAGCCACCTCCACTCACTCACCTCCCCCGGCTGCGCTCGTCCTCGCTGCTGCAACGATCGCTACTTGAGCTTCTGTGCTTGTGTTTCTTGTGCTTCTTTTTCTTCTCCTTCTTTTTCTTCTTCTCTTTTTTTTCCAGACTCATTTGCAACTAGAAAATACCCAGAACATAAGCACGCAAGATTACTGAGATGCCTGTCAGTGCCTCTGAGGGGACTGGGTCATGTGCAAACCACCTGACTCCGTGCCTCTGGGTCTACGGGGATGCAGGGCATTATCAGACTTCCCATGTGGACAAGAGTGAAGGGTCTTAACCCTCGTTGTGCTCAAATGCCCCCGAGACTGCTGACTGGAAACTCTGGGGTGGGGGTTTGCAATTTGTGTTTTGAAACAGTCCCCAGACCACGGCCTAGGAATTTCCATTCTGTCAAATGAACTTCAACTCCACTGAGAGTAATCAGGGACTGCAAGATCATCTTTAAATTTTCCTTACCAACTGATCCAAGAAACAATCACATAATATATTATGTGAATGATGAATGGGCCCTGAGGCTTGCTAGCACCTGATCTCCTGAATGTACTATCTGATCATGATTTTCCACATCATATCCCAATACTCCCTTTTTTTCTGGAAAAATGACATCACATGGTGCTTTTCCAACCAAAAGACATAAAAGAGAAAATCAAGCTTAATTAAGCTTGGTATTAAGATGGCATAAAATCATCAGGAGAAGGTCTCTAAAAGACAAAAATGTTTAAAGCCATCCTGTCTTCCCTCTCCTAAGAGCAAATGGAGAGAAGTTCTCAGGTTAAGCAGCTAAAAGATACTCCTGATGCTTAGATGATGATGCACTACTTACCAATTCTTTGATTTTCTTCATTTTCACAGGATTATTCAATACCTCTCTTTTTTTCTCCTCCTCTTTCTTCCTAAAGAAAGAGAAGAAATTACAAAAATCATGATTTTTTCTTTTGGAAAGGGGATTAAATCTTCATACTACTCTCCACAATTCTATGCAGCAATCTTTTTTCCAGATGCATGCAGACAGGCCCTATGCTGAAATCTGTATGACGGTGTGGAAGCCAAAAATCTTCCCCAAATCTGCACAAGGAATTGAATATTGTGGGGAGAGTTGTTCCCTGCTGTGCAAGAAAGTGAATTTGGTCTGTTTTTGTTAGGCTTCATGCTCAGGGCTTCCCAAGTGGTCAAGTACATGTATGTCATCCTGTGTATCGTGGATGCAACACGTCAATACTACCGCCACTGTTTAGCATGAAACCCACCCCCAAACAGGAAATAAAAAGAATGGATTCCTCTTTTAAGAAGTCCTCTCTCATATATTGTTAACAGGAGGATAAACCAGTCAGCCTTTCTGGAGGACAATTTGGCAACACTTATCACAGCCTGCACATACTCACAAACTCTTTAATCTTATAAATGCTTCCTCAAGAATTTGTTATTGTAAGGATATAATCAAGGAAGGTCACTAAAAAGTTGTTCATATTATAACAATGAAAACTTGGAAACAAGTTAGGGACCCAATAAGAGAGTATTAATAAAATAAATTATGGTATACCTATAATACAGATATTAAATAAGATGTTATAGAAGCATAGTCAGCAATACAGAAAGATGTCCTACATACATGATTAGGTGAAAAAACAGAGTTTATAAAATAATATGCAAAATATCTGTACACCAATGTTCACAGCAACACTTTCCACAACAGCCAAAAGGTGGAAATAACTCAAATGTGCGTAACAGATGAACAGATTAAAAAATGTGGTATAAACATGCAATGGAATATTATGCAGCCTTAAAAAGGAAGGAAATTCTGATACATGCTCTAACACAGATGAACCTTAAAGACATTATGCTATGTGAAATTAGCCAGTCACAAAAAAAACAAATATTGAATGATTTCACTTTTATAAGGTTCAGAATAGACCAACTTCTAGAAATAAAGTACAATAGTAGTTCCCAGGGGCTGGGGTTGGGTGGTAGAGGGAAATGAAGAGTTTGTTGTTTAACGGGTATAGATTTTCAGTTTTGCAAGATGAAAGACTTCTGGAGGTTGACTGCATAACAATTTGGATACCCTTACTAGTGAACTGAACACTTAAAATGGTTAAAATGGTAAATCTTCTGCGTATTTTACCACAATTTTTAAAAAGGAAATTCCGACACATATTACAACAGGGATGAACCTTGAAGACTTTATGCTAGTGAAACAGGCTCATCATAAGAGGACAAACAGCATATGATTCCACTTCTATGGGGTGACTAGAGTAGTTACATTCATAGAGACAGAAAGAATGGTGTTGGCCATGGGGAGAGGAGGGAATAGGGACTTAGTGTTTAATGAGTATGAAGTTTCAGCTGCAAAGATGAAAAAGTCCTGGAGGTGTGTGGTGGTGATGGTTGCACAATGTGAATGTACTTACTGCCACTAAACTGTACACTTATAGTTAAGATGGTAAATCTTATGTTATGTATGCCACGACATTAATGTTACCACCATTAATTAATTAATTAAGAAGCTAACAAAATGGGACAAAATATTTACATATACATATACAATATCTTTATGTATATATACACACATCTTTAATATATAAATAACTTTCAAGAAATTTTCAAAACAAATGTAAATCACATTTTTCAATGTTCAACCTTACACATCTGAAATAAAATAATGCAAATTAAATGAAAAAAAACCAAACAAACCACAGAGCATGATTTCAATTTAGCACCCAAAATGCAGCTCTACTTTGATCTGTTACATATTACGGTTTCAAGTAAGATTCTACAGTTTCTCTTTAAAGGGTTCTGCTGAAGGAAAAAAAAAAGCAGGGAATACAATAATAAAAATATCTGTTCGCATTTAACTTACAAATTAAAAAAAAAAAGGAAGGGAGGCCTGTTCACCCACCTAGCCAATCTCCACATATTCCCAAATTTCCAAGAAGCTGCCAGCCTCTCTCATCTTGCTTCCACCTCTTGTTTTTGTTTAAGAGCCAAAGGTAAATGAATAAATCTCGTCTGGTCTGGTCCATTTACCGATCTTTTCCCATATGTCCGAGATCAGGCACCATTAATGGAGCCTCCTTCCCAAAGTCAGAAGGCCACATGGAGACAAATCCTTTTACGTGGCAGACAAAAGCCAACAGGAAACCAACTGTGAAGCGAGAGGCTAGATAACGTCTCTGCTAAGCATCTCTGTAATAAAACCCCCTTCCCAGCCCCTCAGCAGTACCTGATGATGAAGAGTGGATCCTCCCGGATTTTGCTGGCCATGTCTAGAAGGGAATTGGCACCCGACGGGGCAAAGATAGAGCCCGGGAGCAGTCCTGTCTCAGAAGAACAGCCTGCCTCCTTCTCCTCCAACTTCTCAAAAACGTATTTGTCAATGGGGCGCCCCAGCAAGTACTCATCACGGTTCACCATCCCACCGGGACCCTGGTACATCCAGTCCAATTTTTCTTCCTTTTTTCTAGTTTCAGAAAAGAAAAGAAAAAAAAAACAGTCAAAGAAAATGCTGACTCTTGCTAACCTACACACAAAACCTGAACAAGAGGGATGAAAAACCACATTCTACAGGCACCTTAGCAAAGGCTGACCACCACATTCCCTGCAGCACTTGGGAAGTGGTGCCTGCTGTCACAGAACTTACACTTTAATGGAGAGACCGTTTCCACAAACTTAACACAATTTATGAGGGGGAAAAAAGGCCCTTCAATCTAGGGTATGGATCTTTGCTCCCAGCTTCTCGAGTCTCCCTTACAAAGCCTTCACGTCATGCTTTCACTTTTAGGATAATCTGAAACAGCTAATATGCGTATCCTAGATCATGTCATCACCAACAGCAGTCTCAGAGACCACACATGCAGTTGTGTTTACTGCAGGTTTTGGTGCTTGTCACACTGGCACCAGCGGTAAGGCTACATTTGACGGGATAATGAGAAAAGACCAGAGATCACTTAACAAGTTACGCCTTCAAGCCAAAAGAGGGAGGCCAAATTATGTCACAGTATCACGACAAATAGCTCCCTGTGGTTCCGAGAGAAAAAAAGTGGTGAGAAAATTGAGCCTCACGCAACAGAGAGTAAAGGTGTGCTGAATTCATCAGAGCACGTGTTGGAGCAGCCAATACCACACTCACATCGCAAGTAGTTTCATCAAAGCAGTGTCATCTATTACACTAGACTCAATGATTTTTTAATATGACTTTATTTTGTACATTTATTTTGTTTCAGATTATATAACAACCATGAGCAAAAATAGCTTTCTAGTTATGTCTTTGAACATTTTAAATAACAAACCAATAATACAGGGTCATAACCCTTTAGGTTTTTTTTTTCCTATTAAAAGGATTAGTTTGAGAAACACTATAGTTTATAATTAAGAACTGATTGTGGGTCACTGGGGTCAGACTCCACCCACCTTGCCCAACCTCACTCTGGAATTGAGACGGAGGAGTATGAGCGAGAGTTTTGCCCCGGAGAACTGTGGAAGACTGTGGTGGGGCCTTTATGATGGGTACCATAGATAGTGGTGACTTTCAGGCAATTAAAGGTTTTCACCATTCTCCAGTGGGAGTAAACCAGAAACTACAAGGGAGTTTGACAGCTATTAAAACCAGGCCTCCACAGTTGGAAGGTGGCTTTACAGTTTAGGGAGGTCTGTCTTCCATGACTGACTGCAGTATGGCTCATGTTAGAGGGAAAGAACATCTCTGGAACTCTGTCACAGGTGCTGCCTTTACAGGAGCCATGCCAGCAGCACTGGTATCCTCATCTGCAAAACGGGGATAAAACAGTACCTACCTCACAGGGTTGTTGGAAATTTAAAAAGTCAACGAATTTTAAGGTGTTCAGAAGAGTACATGGCACTAAGTCAGTACTAAATAAACACTGGCTAGTCTTTCATCATCTGCGTATGTGTTTTGTCTCACCCACGGGCTTTCTCACATGCCTAGATGCTGGGATTACAGTTTACTCACCCGTGAATCCAAATAGCTGTGTAATGTGTTCAACATTTAACATTTCATGGGCAATGGGTCTGGAGCTGGGCAGTACTTTCTGAAGGAAAGTCAGTGTTTGGGTACGGGGGATTCTAAAAAGACATGTCAAAGATGACTCGCGGGATCATGCTGACACTAACCCGGATCAGGGAGCTGGGCATAAATATTCACTTATTCATCTGTAAACACTGACTCAGCGTACCTCCTATGTGCCAGGCAGATGAGTAAGGTCAGAAGGATGAAAAAGACTCAGGGAGCCGAGCTGCACACAAGTTATAAGATGAGGCACAGAGGTCAACAAATTACCAAACAGTGCCGATGAGAGCTGAAGTATATGTTGAGGTGACTTTGGGACACTCACTGAAGGCAGAACTGCCTGAATATACAGAGACATAGTTTGGGTGGGATAAACGTGGGCATCATCCCCATGAAGTAGACACTGCTACTAGAGGAATGAAGGTGCTCTTAGAGAATAAAGGGAGAAGAGCAGAAAGTCTTGGGAGCATGAGCAGTTATGAGACAAGAGAAAAGAATGAAGTTAAGTGGAAAAAAGAGAAGGGATGACAGGAAGTGGCAGGAGAGCCAGGAACCTGTAGGCAAAGGAGCAAAACGTTTCTGGGGAAAGGCGACTGAGTCAAACACAGAAGAAACGACATGAACAATGAAGACAGGTACTTCTATAAACTAGTATTTTCATGGCTCCAGCTAGTTTTAAAAGGACTCAACTAACATCAGTACTACTCAGGCCCCTGAGTAAGAGAACATGTTATATAGCTGAGATCCAGCGCCACAGGACTTGGCATGGTTCCACCACTAAGCAGCTGGGTAACCGTGCAAGTGACTTCTGTGCATGTCCATGTCCTCATGTCTAAAATGGAGCTGGTGGGGGAGGGTGTAGCTCATGTGGTAGAGCGCTCGCTTAGCAAGCATGAGGTCCTGGGTTCAATCCCCAGAAACTCCTCTAAAAAAAGTAAATAAACCTAATTACCTCCCCCTGTCAAATAAATAAATAAATAATAAATAAAAAGTAAAAAGTAAATAAAATGGAGCTGGTAACCACGACCTCTCACTGTTTTTCAACAAAACCATCTCTCTGAGTTTTTCAGTGAGAAAAGATTTGGGGTAAAAGTCATATAAAAACGCAATGATCTATAGATTTTTGCTGTTGCCATTATTAAGGATACAGAACATATTCTCAATCAAGGCTGCCTGTGAAGCTCAACCAGGGAGCTCTTAAAATATATAGATGCCCTAGCCCCACACACCCTCTGCTATTCTTAGGGAGTCTGCTTAGGTGGGTGTGAATCACTCCCATCTTTTATTTTTTTTTTGGTGGGGGGGTAGGTAAGTAGGTTTGTTTGTTTATTTAGTGGAGCTACTGGGGCTTGAACCCAGGACCTCATGCATGCTAAGCACACATCCTATCACTGAACTATACCCTCCCCCCTCACTCTGATCTTTATTTATTTAATCTTCCAAGGACACTCTAAAGTACAAGAGTTGAAAAATGCTGCAATAGACCATTGCTTAGAAAACACAACTTTCTAATATTATCAGTAAATACTAAAGCAATACTCCATTGCAAACAGGGATTTGAAGATCAAGATAATGTGCCTATTAAGGTTTTTCTTTGTTTCAAGAGAGATGCATTACAAACACAGAAAAGATGATCTGAGCCATAGAAGTGAACTGTTAAATAGTAAAGAGTTTTTATTGGAAAATGAAAAGCACAACACTGTGCAAAGAACTACACAAACCAGTCAGTTGGGAAAGCTGATAGTCCAAGTATACCTGCAAGTAAAGACTGAAAACAGGGACCAACATGCTAACCTTTGTGTTTCATAATGTTGGAGGATATGCGAGGGGGCAAAAAAATTAAAAAAATATAAAATCACCTTCCTCCCATTGACAACCAGACAAGAGGGCAGGAAGGTCAGCAACAGGATAAACAATGACTCCCAACTCTGAAGCTGTTCACCTATACTCTGATCTCATTAATTAGACTCTGCACAGCCCAAATTTCTGACACATCAGGCACGTAATATGTAATGTGTGGCTGAATAAAAATTTCAAAATAAATTTTCACTTTTGGTTAGTGGGAAAGTAAACTCTTATGACTAATGGGTATTCAGTCTAAAATTGGCATCTGTTTTAAAAATCAAGGGTTCACAAAATTTTAAACTTCACATATAAAACCATCTTATAACCTAAACAAGCAATTCTCCAATGAAGACATACAAATGGCCAACAGGCACATGAAAAAATGCTGAATATCACTAATTATCAGACAAATGCAAATCAAAACTACAATGAGGTATCAACTCACACCAGTCAGAATGGCCATCATTAAAAGTTCACAAATAATAAATGCTGGAGAGGGTGTCGAGAAAAGGGAACCCTCCTACATTGCTGGTGGGAATGTAGTTTGCTGCAGCCATTAAGGAAAACAGTATGGAGATTCCTCAAAAAACTAAAAATAGATTTACCATATGATCTAGCAATCCCACTCCTGGGCATATATCCAGAGGGAACTCTAATTCAAAAAGTTACATGCACCTCAATGTTCACAGCAGCACTATTTACAACAGCCAAGACATGGAAGCAACCTAAGTGTCCATCGACAGATGACTGGATAAAAGAGTTGCAGTATATTTATATAATGGAATACTATTCTGCCATGTAAAAGAATGAAATAATGCCATTTGCAGCAAGAAGGATGGACCTGGAGAATGTCATTCTAAGTGAAGTAAGCCAGAAAGAGAAAGAAAAATACCGTATGATATCACTTATATGTAGAATCTAAAAAAAGAAAAAAGAAGACACTAATGAACTTATCTACAAAACAGAAACAGACTCACAGACATAGTAAACAAACATAGTTCCTGGGGGGACAGGGTTGGGAAGGGATAAACTGGGAGTTCGAGATTTGCAAATATTAAGTACTTTATATAAAATAGATAAATAATAAGTTTCTGCTGTACAGCACAGGGAACTATATTCAATATCTTGTAGTAACCTAATGAAAAAGAATATGAAAACAAATATATGTATGTATATGTATGACTGGAA